GCAGTCGCCTGTAAATAATTACAAAACCTTGACAAAACTTCTTCAGATCTTCAAATTTTCAGATCCAAAGTTCTAAGCAAGGTATTTTCCAAGATGGCAGACAAACATTGGATATTAATGCCACTGATATTTCATCATTAATGTTTAAATGGTAAGTAAGCTAGTAGATAATAGAAAACTGATTTTTATAAGAAGATAGTAAGTATTTTAATTGCTCTAATTAACTCTAATTAATTTTGTTATTAAAGGAGGAGCATACAACAAATCAAGAATTTTGAATTTGAAGCATATTTTAAGCATGCAATTATTAGCTGTTTAAGCATATATTATTAAGCATATTGTTTAGCAAAGCAAACGAATTATTTTCAAACTGTGTAATAATGTAGTATTCAACATTCGTAGAATTAATTAATTAATTAATTAATTAATATTCATATTTTGAGAAAAACGTTCACACAGTGTCACTATAAATCAATAAGGTGAAGGATTTACCCTTGACTTGTGACAAACAAAATGCTTGCTCAAAAGAAAATGGTGAAATGATTGTTGGAATTATACATGTTGCTATACGAGGATTGAAATGGAAATTTTAGCCTGTTGAAAACGATGATTTGTCGAAACGTATTTTTACAGATATATCAAGGAAAACTTTCTTCAAAAGTGTCGATAAATATATGAGAACTGCAGTCGAGAAATGATCGAACTTTTTTAATCATTCTGTCAACATGATATAAATGGTCGTATGATGAATAAAACAATTGCATACAGGAAAGTCAATACTTATTTACAATTCTTATAATTAGTAACTACATACATTTCTATTACACTGTTCATATTATTACAGCTACGTGCAGTATATGAGATTGTGCAACAAAAGTTTTGTAAAATTAATTGTTGCCTTAACTCACTGGGTCCCAAGATGATTATTAATTTCAGGCCTCGACGAAGTCTATATATCTGTATTTTTTTGCAAATAATTATTGGAATCTTCTAGCACAGTTCTAATAGTGAAAGAATTTCAGAAATCGTCAGTCAACTGTTTCTAGAATGAATAGAATTTCATAGTTGAAAATATGGGTTTTATGCGTTTTGTACAACCAGTTCCTGGACTTTCCAGTTGTATTGTTAGCTCGTCCCACCACCAGTGCTTTAATGACAGAAACGGTATGGAGGGGCATACAAAAGTGGCGTACGAAGGAACACACGAGGTAGTCATCGATTCTGAGCAAGTGCACTTATTCGAAGATTGCTCGAGTAGAACTGAGAATTGCGTGTGGAGAGATGGCCAAACTTATAATACTGTTCTCGTTGCTTTCCTGCGTTCCAATATTCATTGACGCACAGTACGAAGGTAAATTGAAGCATGCACATTTTAAAAAGATTAATACTGACGTGCAAAACTCTGGAAATAAATTATATTGCAAAAAAAAAATTGAAAATAAAAACTTCATACAGAGTGAAAGCAGTGTTTGTTATATATTGAAGTTCCTGAGATTTTATTATGGTGGATAATCTTTTTGTAAAAACATTAGCAGATATTGAATAGCGAGTTTAAACATATAATTGAAGTAAGGATGATTGTATTATTGTATTGTTTATTGATGTAATTAATATTTGATTATGTAAATTGACTCTTACATACACTTTAATACTTGCATCTGATCATAGCGTCAATGAAAAGATGAAATACGCATATAATGGTTGAAATATGTTAATATTATGTAATATATTTTATATTTATATTATATATTTTATAATATAAATACGTTAATATATTTTCACAACGATCATTGCATGATATATTAATGTGGTATTTAAACAACAGACCAGTAAAAAATGTAAAAATTTTCTAAACATTTTAAAACATCAAGAATGTTCAAAAACTCGTAAGTTAATGTCAGCATAATGTCAAAACAATCAAATCGTCATTCATTAAAGCGTAGAACACGTTTGAATCCATCCGAGATATTAATTGTATGCTATACTGTACACTATCGATATCAATTACTGTTCAATTTGTAGGCAGTTGGAGTGATTTCTCAAAATGGTTACGTGATGGAATAAAATTTTGCTCGGTGGGATGATTTTATTCGAACGTGTTCTGAATGTTTCACTGGCTACGAATGTAGATAAATTTGCTTTTTAAATAAGTTTGCAACAGGAATTTAAAAAGAAAAAGAGAAGAAATACAATACCGAATACATGAATAAAGAATGAATTTCCCCGTACGTTCATCACTAGCGGATGTTTTCTTTTTTTTTTTTTTTTTTTTTTTTTTTTCTCTCCATTTAACATTCGCAATTGTCCTCAGGTGATCTATGCACTATTGATGGCTCATCCGGTGTTTGCGTACTCCTTGACGAGGAAAAGTGTCCTTCAGTTTATCAAAATTTGCTGGCAGGGATCACTCCATCTTCAATATGTGGATATAAAGGCTTCATGCCGATCATATGCTGCCCAACTAAATTTAGTACTTCTACAACGAAAGCTACAACCACAATTAGAACTACAACTACGAGTAGACCTACAACTAGAACTACGACAACTACGACAACTTCGTCTTCAGTTATCGATGATCGGCCGTCATTAAATCGCGTAGGAGCGAAAGCAAGAGCGAGTAAGTATTTCGAATATTTCTTAAATTTCTTAGAGTAGAGATTTCATTTATTTGAATTCCACTTGTTGAAACGAAATTCTAGCCAATCCATTAACAATTCTAGTTAATTCTAGTAAATTCTAATTTATCCATT